ACAACCCTATACACGGGAAAAACAAATATCACATCAGAATGCATGTCCCTCGTCCTCACCTGCACGGAAACACCCTTCGTGTCATGACCTCACCATAACATACAAGCATAACAATATAAATGAAATGGCACGGCATCACCCTTCGTGCTTTTTCTCTCAAATAATATAGCACGACATCACCCTTCGTGCTTTTACTCTCAATAATGTGGCACGGCATCACCCTTCGTGTTTTTACTCTCAATAATATGGTACGGCATCACCCTTCGTGCTTTACACTCTTCCTTATCAAGCATATATATAACCGTAACAAACAAGGCAGGAAGCATAACAGACATCAAGGAGAGTATTTTAATGGATATTCCAGAAAATTCCCAAACACAACTTTTCAAGTCAACAATGGTTCAACAACCCTCAAGAATCGTATTATTCAAATATTTTGACGAATCTCATAATTGAGTCACAACGCAAGTATAGAGTCTAGCATCTCAAGAATAACGGTTATAGTAATATAATAATGATTTCGCGTAGAGATGACCGAATTAGACACAACAATGTATTCTTACAATTCCCATCAAGTTTGATCAAGTTGTAGCAAACTAAGTCTTGATATCTATCATTTAATATTATGTCTTTAGTATCGAAGAGTCAAACAAGGCATTAAGCAGAATGTCACAAAATTCTACAAACACAAATATAACATAATCCACCCCCCCCCCCCCCCACCGAGCATGGTTAACCCTGGAACATACATATACGCTCTTCACCTCATATATTTATCATCCCCACATGTAGAAACAATGACAAATAGGAGTAAAAATTCCCTCAACAAAGCTAGGCAAAACACTTACCTCGAACAAGCCAATAACAATACCGAGCAAGCCAAAATTCTACTCCGCGATGCCTTTGCCCCCCCCCCCTTCAAATCGACCTCCAGATGCTCCGATCTAGCCATAAACAATCCGATACAATCAACACGAGCTAAAGGTATCAATCCCATAAGAAAATACTAAGCTTTAGACCGAAAGTCAAAAAGTCAACTCAAAATCTAGGCCCCGGGCCCACGTCTCGAAATTCGACCAAAGTCACAGAATCCGACAACCCATTCGATTACGAGACTAACCATACTAGTTTCGCTCAATTCCGACTTCGAATCGGCTTTCAAATTCCAAAAGTTCATTTTATGAAGGTCTACAAGTTTCCCCAAATCTTCACCCCAAATCACAAATCAAATGATAAAATCAATGATAGATTCATGTATTTTAGCCAAATTCGAGTTAGAATCACTTACCCCGATGAATTTCTTGAAAAATCTTCAAAAAATCACCAAGATCCGAGCTCTCTAGGTCAAAAATATGAAATAAAACCCTAAATCTCATATTTATAGTGCACCTCTCGGATTTCCATTTCCGCTGACAGCAAAAAATCACCGCCCCACCGGACTTCCACTGCTGACCGCAGAATTCCTCCACTGACCGCGCTTCTGGTGGCTGCAAAGACAGGCCTTAGTATTTTGGCCATAACATTCTCTACAGATGACCAAATGATGATTTCTTTACCTTTCTGGAAACTACACACGAAGGGCTACAACTTTTGCTTTTGAATCATCTCAAAATTCCTTGTATATCAAAAGATATAGGCTTACGAAGTCGGACCAACGAACGTGCGAATTCTTCCCTGGAGCGCCTCAGCGCCCCGAATTCCGCCCTCAGCGCCCCAATTCCGCCCTCAGCGGAAGTTCCTTCGCCCTCAGCGAAGATTTAAGCACCATAACCATGCCTGAGTTCCGGTAATGCCCAGACTCGCTCAAAACTCACCCGAAACACACCCAAGACCTCCGGAACCTCAACCAAATGCCAACGAGTCCTAAAATACCATACCAACTTAATCGAGCTCTCGCTTCACCTCAAACAATAACAAAAACATGAATCGCACACCAATTCATGCTAATGGACTTGAAACCTTAAACTTTCACAACCGATAACGAAGCCTATCAAACCTCGCCCGAATGACCTCAAATTTTGCACACACGTCACAAATGACACTATGAACCTACTCCAACTCTCGGAATTTCATTCGACTCCAACATCAAATTTTTCACTTCCGGTCAAACTTCTCGAAAATCCAACTTTCGCCATTTCAAGACTAATTCAACTACTAACCTCCAAATTATAATCCGGATGCACTCCTAAGTCCAAAATCACCCAATGGAGCTAACGGAACTGACGAGACTCCATTCCGAGGTCAAATACTAAAAAGTCAAACTCGGTCAACTCTTCCGACTTAGAACTCAAATCTTGAAGTTCATTCTTCCAAATCGACCTCGGATAACTTGAAAACCAACACTGATGATTTACGCAAGTCATAATACATCATGCAGAGATACTCGAGCCCTCAAGATACCGAGAGAAGTGCAGATTCCCGAAACGACCAGTCGGGTCGTTACAATATGATCCACATATTAGTTTTCAATTTTCTCGCATACAGCATCCACTTACAACCTTGATCCCATCTACGACAAATAGCCTTATATATTTGCTTAGATGACTCAATAACCTCGATCCCACGACAGTTCTTTGTGTTGTAAATTCGCACCGCCCTGTTAAGGCGCGTTTTATCAGCAAAAAGCATATTCTTACAAAGCTCTGTTGGTCTAGATTCATCCCACATTATTGTACAAATGTCATCAAGATACCTTGTGAGGGCATCCATATACATCATACTGGGCAAGTGATCAAGGTAGGGAATCTCCCTTGAATGAAAGGGCACATGAGACTCGTACATTGTGGGTCTAACGGTAGGTGGAGCCTGCATATATGGAGCATGCTCAGTTGTGGCATCATGCTGCCTTATCAAATCGGGTTTCTCATTCTCATTCTCATCAGCAAAGTGTGGTTCCTCATCATCATCGCTCTCATCAGGGAAGGGTGTTTCATCTCCAGACTCATCAGCGTTGTTGTCATAATCACTGTCATCTTCCTGACTCTGTGCATCCGCCAGATCCTGATTGAATATATCGTCTTCGGGCAACTGAGTAATAGCAGGATCATCATGTTGTTCGTTTCCACTGCACAACCATAAAATAATGAGTTTCTCAAAGTCATCCCAACATAATATATTAACTTTATCTCTTAACTTATAATTCATAATCTATAGATAGCCCATGATGCATATTATCGAGTTGTTAGATGACTCGCGGATGGACCAGCATGATCCAAACCTCCAAAATTAGGTATATTCCAATTGTTGATTGGTTCATAACTTGTAAAATTCATATCTAGTCGGTACACTCTTTGAAAGATATAAGTGTTAGTACGAATATGAAACACAAAAAAATACTACAAAAAGAAAATTTGAAATTTACCACTCGGCGTGGTGAATTATATAAACTTGGAGACACTCTATGATGCTGCATCGGGGAGAAATTATGTCCTCGCTCCTTATTCGCCTGTGGAGATAAGTTTAGATCTGGCCGGACTCTTCTTACGGAACTTGTTCGGATAAAACTGCTCCAAAAATACCACCAAATGATTGAGGGTTATTCATATTTTGCGGAACATCAATATTGTTGATGTCATCAGACTTTTACATTTCCAGCATTTTTAACACAAAAAGATCCCCGTGTTCATCCGGAGTCCTCAAAAATCTTGTAGAGTTTCATCCTCGTTGATATTAAACTCAGCATAACAAGCAACCCCATGCGGAGTAAGCGAATAAGGATATCTTCTGGTTACCTTAATATTAACCGAACGTTTACTCAAACTCATTCTTTTACAAATCAAAGATACCAATCTGTCGTACTCCAATGTGAGTTGCAACTTAATAATACTCTGTAGAAAACAACTATAGTTACTGAGTTATTCTCCACCACAACCTCATCCCCAATATAATGCAACCCTAATTTTTCGCTCATCAGACATTCTAGCAAAATTTAGAAAACTTTGAGTAAGCAAATATATTGGAATGAGTAAGCAAAATACAAAGGATGCAGAAAATGAATTTTTCGGAATGACTTCTTGAAGAACGAATACTGGACCTAAGTAGGCAAATATTCAGTGCAAGGAGACAATAATTGGTGGGTATAACGCATGTATTACATGCACTGTGCATGTAGCGCATGTAATACATGCGATATACCAACCAATCATTGTGGGTCAGAAAATAACAGGCATAGCGCATGAACTACATGCGATATACCTTAACAGAGAATTTTGTCGTGAGCACATGCACTATACATAATAATGTTCTCAAGTCTTTTTTTCACCTATTTTGGTGGTTTGAGTCCAATTGTGCAATATTTTGGTTCCAGACTCAGTGATGAACCATGAGAAAAGAAACTTGGAGATTTGAGGTTTGAATCCAATTCCAAGTATGGTGTAAATTTACTCGCATTTGTGTTTACCTCAATGAATACAAAACAGATGGCTTGTAATTTTTTATCAATAAAGCATACTTAACTACGTAGCTGGCTATTTGTGTAAAGATCTCTTAATTTATAACTCAATTATAATAAATTAATATAATATCGTGTAATATTGAAGTGAGTTAGTTTTTACCCTACAATATTTGGTGTGAACTCATCTGTTCCAACTTAGAAGGACAAGTTGTAAGTTGTCCTATGAATTGCCGAAGTGTGGTGCAAGCTTAATTGGATACTGACAATATTTTTTAATAAATAAATAATGAACTATGTAGCTGGATTAGCTTAGAAAGCTAACACAATTCCAACGTCAACTTAATTGAAAAAACATTGTGATGTGATAGGTCAGAAAATATCAAAAAATAAATCTATAGCAGAACTTTCCCATAAGTCCTGGACTCGTGGTTTAATTACAGTGTGGACGTCACTACGCGGTAGACAACATAACTTATTAGTGAGACACCTATAGTTCTTTTTTATTTGTTTATCCTAACATAATTAATAAATAATTTTTTTGGGCAAAGATATAAACCTATACAAGCTGGGAAAAAAAAAAAAAAAGAACTTGATAAACACGTAGAAGTAGGGGCCATAAATATAAGGGGGGAGTCAAAACATTCCTAAACAAAAGCGGATAAACATTAGTATTATTTAGCTCTCTCAATTTTCATCTCGTTTTTTGGGACTACAACTCCTATCCAAGAAATGGCATTGAATCCTAAATTGTTTCCTCATGGGATGCCAATGCCATACCTTAACGAATTGTTTGTCTTCGCCAGCGATGTCGTTGACTTTGAGATTGATAACATCCCTCGGTATAATTAAGTTCATCATCTCTCTGTTTTTCCACTATGTATTATTGCTGCTTCCTTAATTGTAATTATTTTCATCTAAGTTAATTGGTTGACCAAAATGCTGATTTAATTTTGAAGTTAATGATGTTTGGATTGACATGATTATTTTGGTTTTGCAGTTTAGGAGAAGTACAAGCAAAAGGAACCATCTACTTGTCCAATATGCGGATGGTTTTTGTTGCCAACAACCCTAAGGACAACTTCATTTCTTTTGATATTCCCTTGGTATGTAGGAAATATATGCCTTTTGACTCGTGTGGAAACATTGTTGTTCGTTTGATTCTTTACACTACCTATTTATGTTTGTTTTGATTCATCTGATCTTGCAACACTTTAGGCTAATGTCTTTAGGTTCCAGGATAACCATATTGCCCTCTTTCATTTAACTATCTCAAAAAATTTCATGTCTTTTAAAGCAACTCTATATTTCAAGTTGTTAACCAGAATCTTGGATGAAGGATTTAGAGTACCATGCATTTGAATTTTCCATACTTTGTACGTGCTATATCTGCACGATTGTTTTCTGGTTGCTTCTACCTAGTTTCACATAAACATTATCGCTTGTCTTGAATACCCACATTGAGAGAACAAAAAGTGTTGTCTATACTGTTATTTGTTGGGGTTTCTGTCTTTGACTTGGTGTTGTCAAAGGCTTGCTTGAGGTGCGGTTAAGCCCTGAACCTAGGTGAAAATAGGTTGTGCACTTCCCTATCTTAAGCGACGCTTGTAGGCACCAAGGTGTTAAGGCGTGCGCCTCATTGCCCATAGGCTGTCATGAAGAGGCAACACTAAACATTAACCATTTCACCTAATTGTAATTTTCCAAATCTTTTTCTATGTAATTGCTGCTTGGTTTTGCTACATATATATTCTTTTATTTTTTCCTTCAATTGCTTTTCTTCATAATCCTGTCTCATTTTTTGCTTTGTGCTTAACGCCCCAATAAATGTACGCATTTTTTTCACTTTTCATGTTTGACAACATTGGACTTATGATGACTACCATGAGGTGATGTGAGATGGTTCATAACATTTGGTTCAGATCAATCTTCTCTTAGTCGTATTATGCTTCACAACTTGCTTATATTACTGTTCTTGTTGCTGTGCCTGTGTCATACTGTCTAGATTTTGCTATATCTTTGTGACTTGGAGGTTGATCCGGCATTTAATTAGAGTCAGTAGGTTCAAAGGAGGTGCAGTTTTATACATACACACACGGATATATATATATATACATAATTATCTATGTGTAGACTAAGATATTCCCAATTATATCGATACAAATTCGTGGGTTATTTTGATGAGTGGGGATAGGCAACAAAAGTTAGAACCGGTAATTGCTTCTGCTGACCAAATTGACTTCATCCTGCAGCTTTTTGTTCATGGTGAAAAATTTAACCAGCCAATATTCTTCTGCAAAAACATTTCTGGATATGTAAATCCGGTAAGTAGAATAGATAGATTTATTTATTCATTGACAATGCACCCTACTTCAGATGACTGATGCTAGTCTATTTCAGGTTGTACAAGCGGCTAATGGAAACACGACCCTTCCTCATTCGTTTAAGATTTTGTTCAATGAAGGTGGTTATGAGACTTTCATCCCACTAGTTTTTAAATTAATTGGAAAAGTGAGACGACGCTACCGACGTTCAAGGGCAAAGCCTCGTGTAGATCCTCATGAAGCAGCACAAACACCAGTTGATGAGATGACTAGACATGCGTATGTCACATTGCTTGCTCTTTGTACTATGAAATTATATGATCTCATCTTTTATTGAAAGTGTAAATAGAGATATTTCATACAATCCTTATTTTGGTTAATTTTGCAGTTATGTCGACCCGAACGATCCTACATTTATCTACTTGCAGCAGCCTAAGCCAGAGTCTAAATTCAGGCGTTGTTCATACCAGTCACAGTCTGCTGAAACATCTATATAGCTTTTGCTTCAGGTTAACTGGATAAATGCCAAATTGTGTGCAAGATGCGTCTTTTCGTTGATGCCTTCGGATCTCGCCATAAAGAGAAGAATAGTGAGTTATTTTGTATATATATGTTAGTTATACTCCCTCAAGTTCTTAATGAATATATACATATATGCTCGTTTCAGGGGTGTAGTTCCTTGCACTAAATTAATTGTGTAATGAACCATCCTCCCATATCACTGGATTGTTTGGCAGCTATTTAAACCCTGTTGTTTTGGTTTGCTTCTTGCGAGATTGACTAGAGCATGTGTGACGTATATAAATCTTTTAAATTGTGAAGATATGAAAATAATTCAGATATCATTGAGCTGACATATGAGATACTTGAAGAGATTATGGTAGGAACTAAAATCTGTAAAGAATAACAGTGTTCTTCGGTATTGGCGAAGATGTAGCTTCACTCTTAAATGGATCAGCAGAGGTCCTTTCTGCTGTGATTATATGAACTAAATATTAGTATAATTTGACTTTCTCTTGACAAAATGAACATGTAATCTAAGAATTGGCTAGCCCTTAGCGTGAGTATTGATAAGGTGAAGAGGGGAAAAAAAGATGTTCTACATGGTCACAGACACTAGCATTATAAATTAATATTTCATACAAAACTATTTTTAGATCTTTGTTACACATAGTGTCATTCTTACCAGTATTGTTAGTCGTATTCTTGTAGTATTTCTTATTTTTATATCTTTGTTACACAGTGTCTTTGTTTTTTTTCTTGTGTTGTTATTGTTGGTCGCTTCTTGTTTAGTGTTTCTTTAGTCGAGGGTCGAGGGCTATCGGAAACAGCCTCTCTATCTTCACAAGGTAGGGGGTAAGGTCTGCGTACACACTACCATCCCCTACATTGTGTTTGTTGTTGTTGTATTTCATACAAAACTATCTCAAGAAGTCATATATATGAGAAGATGAAGAGGCAACAATAGTAACAGAAAGAGTAGTAATTACAGTAGTTTATGTTGAAAATGCTGCAGCCAGGCAAAGAACAGTACATAATAATTTCACATCTTAGAATAGTACTCATATTTATTATTCAAAAAATAAAAGAGGGGTTCCCTCTCCTTTCATCTGATCAATATTTATGATTTATATGCAGCACATTTCTGAACTGCAACCTCTGCAATAGCAGTGAAAAGTACCACAATTATAGCAAGAACAACTAGTTTGTAGCCTTGTGCCCATGCCCATTCCTGTCAGCAAATTGCTTAGCTTCTCTATTTCATGCACATCATCATTTCCTTTAGTAGTAAAAGTATCATCAGCTAAAGGGTTAATGTCACCATTGGCTACTCTAACATGAACGTAAAGTGCCAAAATAATCAACAAGATCACTGCTACCTTTTTTGCCATAGTATTAAAGTTCACAAGTGTATGTGCAATGAAAACTCCCTCTATGTCAATGCTTGCTGCAAACAATTAGAGTATTTATATATTTATAAAACGATCTAAACCTAAGGTTCGCCTCGACTGGCGAATGGCTCAAGAAATACTAAGCATGAGAAAGTTATACATATATAGAAATCTGCGTTATATGCTTATGTGTCCAATGATACCATTCGATCTCTTTAGTTTTGCAATTAGATAAACAGAAGCAAGTCATTTTGTGTGTCATTTATAGACCCCTCCGTTGACCAATCATGGCATCATAATTAAATTAATTTTTCAAGGTGTATGTATATATGTGCGCATATGTATATATACGAATATACACTAATTGAACTATAAGTAGGTAATAGTCACCGGATTATATCTTAAATATAAAATTTTAGCAGCTCGTGAGTAGTCCAATATTGAAGAATGTGCAAATATATTTGTGAAATTTGAGAAAGTTACCTAGAAAGATTCTTTGCCCTCTCAGTATAGCAAAATAAAGACTAAAACCAACTGTATTGGTCAAAATATGACCGTCACGACTAAACGGCCTAGCACCCTGCTCCGATAACCAGGCGGTAAAGATCGACAGAGCCCACTCCATTTCTCTTCCGAAGACACCTGACCAATCGGGAAAGGCGACGCCTATGATCACGACTAGGATACGTCAGCAACGAAAGAGCGTCGAGTCAAGCAATGTGTAAAACGACTTCAACTATATATAGTCAAGAAGAGTTCTCAAAAAAATGAAAGAAAAGAAAAGAGCTCTCTCTCTTTGTATCTTCAAGAAAAAACAGGGAAAAGGTCCCAAAAGAATATCTGTAAACCTATTTTCTCATCAATCGATGAGAAAGACTATATTCAATATTAAGAAGATCTATCATGTCTTTTTCATCTCATATATTATTATTGTTATTTAATGTTTCGATCCGGAAGTGATTACATTTGGCTAAGATTTACCCCTTCATCTTTTGATTGATTTGTTCAAAAAGATCTTTGCATCTTTTGAGTCAAACAATTTGGCGCCGTCTGTGGGGATTTCTTAGTGAAGATTTTCCTAGTTTCTCCTAGATCGAAACAAAAAATACGATCACTCCTCAAAAGGAGCGTGAAGGAAAAATCCAACCCGCGCGAAACACGAGAGCAGCATAGGGAAGGAAGAAGAGCCAAACAAGATAGCCGGGCTTGGAAATCTTCGCCCCATCAGCTATCGATATACTAAACAAAACAAACCATGTCACCAACCTGCATTCTCCCACCGGACGGGGACAAAGAATATCCCATCCTCACCTCCCACTTTGTCCATGTAAGCACATAAGCCTTGCGCACACGAATGCACACAAGAAAATCTCGATTGAAGGGCAAAAATAGCTTCAACACAACTGAAATGCCCCCTGTCGGCAACCTCTCTGAGGCGGACGACAGAAGCCAAACAAGAAAATGATAAGGCATACACTGCACGCACCTGGAAACAAAGCATTAACACCTCGTATTCACCAGCTTTGCATCATCTGGCGCAAGCAATACAAAACGGACTGGGACTCCCACGAGCGATGCCTAGCTCTCCGGGAGGCGGAATGACAACGGGCTGTTATTTCGATAAGTTCGAAATAACACCCTTTAAGGCTAAGGGCCTTCGACAAATAAGAATAAGAGTTCGACCTCGATCGAACGACGACGGGTTGCTATTTTGATAAGTTCGAAATAACACCCTTTAAGGCTAAGGGCCTTCGCCAAATAAAAAGAAGAGTTCGACCTCGATCGAACGACGACGGGCTGCTATTTCGATAAGTTCGAAATAACACCCTTTAAGGCTAAGGGCCTTCGCCAAATAAAAAGAAGAGTTCGACCCCGATCGAACGACGACGGGCTGCTGTTTTGATAAGTTCGAAATAACACCCTTTAAGGCTAAGGGCCTTCGCCAACTAAAAAAAAAAGGTCCGACCTCGATCGAACAATGACTGGCTACTATTTTGACAAGTTCGAAATAACGCCCTTTAAAGGCTAACAACCTCCGCCGAGTAAATAAGAAGAGCCCGACCTCGATCGAATAACGACGGGTCGACATTTCGATAAAATCGAAACAACACCCCTAAAAGTCAATAACCACTAAAAGAACAGAAAAACCGGGACTCATCAGGTGAGCCTCTGTCTTACACTAAAACCGCGAACAGGCGAAATAGAAAGTAAAGTACAAGGCCAACAACGGAGAAAAGTGCTCTTATTTTATGCAAAGTCACAATGTGGGCTACCACCGCTTACATACGGCCAAGGCCAATCCGAAAAAAGAAAAAGAGAAGAAACTAACAACAGTCAACAAATGAAAAGAAAATATAAAAAAACGCATAGGGCCACATCTTTCATTCGGCGTCATCACCACCATCACCATCACCACTATCATTGCCAAGAGAACCCTCATCGCCGTCATCGGCATCTCCATCAGCTTTGGGCATTGCCGCATCATACCCACAGTTGACGCGAGCCTCTCGAGCCTTCGCTCGCGCTTCTTCATAAGCCGCCTCAGCCACGGTGCCCGCCTCCCACAAATTCTTAAAAATGTCCCGCTGAGCTTCGGTATAAACCCAGAGCTCGTTCATTTGACGAGGAACGACTGCGGAAGATGACTCGACCTGAGCCCGTAACCACTCATTTTTCGCCTCCAGGGCCGCGACCCGATCTCCCAGAACCGATTCCTCCTGATCAATCACGCCTATGCGCTCCTCAAGCCTCGCCTCCCTGAGGGTAGCCGTCGCTCTCTCTGACTCCTGTTCAGACTGAAGTACGCGGATAGTGTTTTCCAGGGTCGTTGCCCTCGCTAAAGCCTCAGACTAGGCCCTCTCAATATTTTCCAATCCAGCGACTTTGCTCTCTATTGCGGCCAATTTCCTCATCCATTCCATGCTCATCGCTTCGACCTTGACCAAGTTCTGGTCCATCTCCGACTGCATCGACCTCAACCTACCCTGCAAGTGCTCGCACTCCGCGACAATCCCCTTACCAACTCGAGCTCCTCGTCCTTAATGCGAAGTTGCTCCTTGAGTTCGCTCTTGCTGCGGATGGTTTGCATCAATTCCTGGTCCCTTTTCTCTAACTCCTCGCCAAGAGCCCGATTGCGGGGGTTCGTTCTCAGTTGCTCTTGCATCTCGCGGCACCTGCCACGGTAACGACGGTATTTTTCCAACATCTTCAGGAAGACCCTCGCCCGGATGTTGGCCCTGCGAATGCTTTCCACTTCCACCATGTACGTCTGGAAATTGTAGAGCCAGAGTTAAATAGATATTTTCGGAAAGGGCAAAAGCATAAAGCAAAAATAAAATGTAACGTACCCTTAGGCCCATGACGGCCACCTCGTCCCTCAACTCAGCATCAGGAACATCTCGAAGGGACTCGTTCTCAGCCTCGGAGCATAACAGGCTGAACTGCGGCACCAACTCTTCCCCCTCCGCCAAGAGATTAATGCCGGAAGGGATCTGAAGGATACGGGCCGAGCCTCCCGCACTAACCACCGAACGAGTAAGACCCTCCTCGAACATTCTAACATCATCGGGGTCCAGGTCCGACTCCGACTCATAGTCATCGATCACCACGCCTTTTCCCCTCTCTGCTGCGGAAGAGGAGGCACGACCCGCCGCAGAAGATGAGGGCACGTCTGAAGTCACAACAGCGGCTGCAGAAGTCTGGTTCTCTACCACAACAATATGTTGATCGTCAACAGCGACAGGGACTTCCGATTGAGCCAAAACGGCAACAGGAGTTTCCAAATGATGATCACCGTCACCAGCAAGCCCAACGGATTGCTCCGCCCCTATAGGGGGAGCCACCATAACCCCATCTCTGGATCCCATTAGGGGAGAGTCGTCCTGATGAATCACTGTCGGGGGAGCCGTTTCAAATTCTACTCTCCGTCTCTTCGATGGCACCTCTTCCTCTCCAGTAGACGGTGACTCGTCCGTTGGGAGAACGACATTGGTCGGGACCTCATCCCAGGAAGCGGCCCTCGCTGGAGTAGCTAAGGCCGCAGATTCAACTGAAGCAGCCCTCGAGGATGGTCGTGCAGTGGATACTGAGATAGGGCAAGCAGATGCGGCCGGTTGGCGAAAAGCTAATTGAGGGGGCCTTGCTCTCCGCACCCTCCCTGGCAAAGATGCACGACGCATTAGAGACTAAACAAAAAGAAAAAAGAAGAGAGGACAGTAGATGAAGGCGTCGTCGAACCTGTAAGGGGCCTGCATCCAAACCTCTCGTGGAAGGTCGACCATGTGCGAATTCCTGCTGTATGGGGAAGAATGGCCTCCACCCATTCACGAATCCCTTCGACAGACGGCGGAGGCAATCTCTCAGCTGCAAAGACGAGACAGTTTAGTACTCGTAGTAAATAGTCGAACATTTCACTAACTAAAGAAGCAAACTTACGTGCGAAGTTCCATTTCTCGGGGAACCCCATTGGATCCGCCACAATGTGTTCGGTCCGCACGTAGAATAAGTTCTCGTAGAAACGACGATTGGTCCGGTCGTCCATCTTGACTACCAGACCCCTCGACCCTCGAGGACGTATATGAATCATCGAACCACGAATCAATTGAGGAGCAAAAATGCTGAGCATGTGGTTCAAGGTGACCTCACGAACGGCAAGCTCCGCATACTTGAGCAGCATAAGAAACAGCTTGTACAAATAAGGTGAAAGTTGTGCGGGGCACACTTCGTAGAAACGACAAAAATCTACCACCAACATGGGAAGAGGGAGGGTGTACCCTACAATGAAAGGGTAGGCGTAGAACACGCAGTACCCGGGACGATCGAATTGAACTATGTTGTCCCCCTCCACCGGCTGCATATCGACATAATCGGGGATTCCCCACCTTCCTTTCAGTTCTGCAATCCCCCTCTCCTTTACGACAGAACGAACAGGTTCCGGCTCCGCTCCACCGCCTGTGCTAATGTCGATCACCTCTCTCCCCGGGCGAGGCAAGATCTCTATCACTGAAGGAACTTCCTCATCCTCCACCGTATCCGCCCCTCCGGTGACCTGAATGGAACTCTCCGGCACCGGATTAATAGCGGGAAGGTTGTCTTGAAGAGAATCACCAGCCATTCTTCCCAGCAAAGAGCGCTCCAAAGGAAGTGATAAGAAGATAAGAAGAGGAAGTGAAAAATTCCGACGAGCAAGAAGATAAGCAGAAATTCGAGATATCAGTAGAAGCTATGTCTGAAGAATTCCCTCAAGCGAAAGATGAAGTGAATCCATCAAATGACAAGTCTCCTCTATTTATAAGAGACATAAATTCCCCGAACACGAAACCCAAGAATCGCCATTTCAGACCTGACAGGGCACGAAACATTTCAACCCCCCAGAGACGTGTGTCATAATGGTGGTAACCACAAACCGACGCTTCAGCTCCAACCCACGTCTCGATTCCGAAACAGTCGTAACGGTCCACGAGGATTGAAGAAACGCTCTTATTCCGCCTTTAGCCCACAAAATGTGGCCAATGATTAAAAGATTGTGAGTCAGATTTCTCTCGACTCCGTAATGAACATGATTCGTCTGCCGAGTCCGACATGGGACGACCCCGACAGACGGAGGGACTAACTGTATTGGTCAAAATCTGACTGTCACGACCAAACGGCCTGGCACCCTGCTCCGATAACCAGGCGGTAAAGATCGACAGAGCCCACTCCATTTCTCTTCCGAAGACACCCGACCAATCGGGAAAGGCAACGCCTATGATCACGACTAGGATACGTCAGCAACGAAAGAGCGTCGAGTCAAGCAATGGGTAAAACGACTTCAACTATATATAGTCAAGAAGAGTTCTCAAAAAAAAGGAAAGAAAAGAAAAGAGCTCTCTCTCTCTTTGTATCTTCAAGAAAAAACAGGAAAAAGGTCCCAAAAGAATATCTGTAAACCTATTTTCTCATCAATCGATGAGAAAGACTATATTCAATATTAAGAAGATCTATCATGTCTTTTTCATCTCATATATTATTATTGTCATTTAATGTTTCGATCCGGAAGTGATTACATTTGGCAAAGATTGACCCCTTATCTTTTGATTGATTTGTTCAAAAAGATCTTTGCATCTTTTGCGTCAAACACCAACATAAAGGTCTTTGTTTTATATGCTATATACTTTATAACGAGGGTACTTTTGGGGGATCAAAACGAAAATTCTCTCAGAAAAAGAACTCGATTGTAAATCGTAATAATATTGAGTAGCAGGCTTCAATCTGTGATTTACATATACAAGATAAGTTCGAATATTCAATAAATATTTGTCTACTTATTGATTATCAAAGCAAACCCCCAGCCTAAGATTTGATGGTTTCCGCCCTCAGTTCAGAGAATAGAGCTGCTGCATCGGACATCAAGCAATTTCTAGTCCAAACCCTGGACCATATTCTCGCTTGAAAAGCGATAGTTCTTCTTCCAATTTCGTACATCGAATTGTATATGTAAAGAAGAGTTTTTCTTTTTTCAAAGAGATAAAGCCACGCAACCTTTCGAGATAGAGTCTTCAGTCATCGCTAGAATTTTAGGACAAGCTGATTATTTTAAGAAATGAGACGTATTTCAAAGTGGTTCAGACATAGCGCAATTGAAAGTTTTTGTGTGCTCTAAACTATCATCTGTCTGTTTGGAGCTGTTTACAATCAAAGGCAATCATTTACTGTGATAAGATCAGCATGTCTTATACAAGTATTTGACTTTCAAAGCACCTGAACTACCCCCACAGTCATCAATTTGGGGATTTACACTCGATAATCAACTAATTCGTATTTTTAATTTCTATCACACTCTTCATCTATTTGTTTATTTGTGTGTGTAACTCAATAATCAACTACTTCGTTGTTTCAATTTCTTTGTTTATTTAGTGTGTAACTCAATAATCAATTAATTCGTTTTTTCAATTTCTATTTATATTAAGCTAAGAACTAAAGATCTTGTAAGTCCGCCAAACCAAGCGTTATTGGTTCAATTGATGGAACTTCCAAGGACTTTTTAGAACTAACTTTGAGCTGGAACGATCCATTGCAAGTAGGTCTTTCAAGAGTTTTGTCAGTTGAAGCAAAATTTGCTTAGTCTTTGCCAACTTAAAGAATCGTGTGCTCGGAATAATTATTGGGGAAAAGATGTTCTACTCCTAAACTCAATGGACCATTTGGGCTAAAAACTTCATTTTTGCCGTTAGGAAAAGCAGCTTCTCTACATCCACAATAAAAAAGGTGTTCCTCCTGAAATAACCAAGCGCAACAAGAACTACAGCAACCATCAGCAGATGTCAGTTCAAAATGAACTTTATTAACTAAAATATCAGTTAGTTGTTTTAACCAATATATCAGTTAAATACAACTACATTGTTGTGTGTTTCCTTCTATAACAATCTTCAATAATGCGCAGATCACAAGAAAACCAACATAAGCAGAATATTTCTTTATACAATACAAGCTCTTCCACCAAGTCATAAGTCCAGCCTCCCATACGAAATCTATTTAACCAAAATATACTGCAATAGCTGCTTCACCAATTTGCCAGGAAAATGTACAGGCTTGTGTTTTATGCGATGCTGGACCTTAGGAGCTGTTCTCCTCTTTTACCTCGGCAATCTCTAAAGTTGCTTTTTGTGCAGCTCTTCTTCTGTTTTGAATCTGGCTAACATATTCCGCAACTATAACATGAAACTTGGGGGCCAGTTTACTTGTGTTAGAGACATTAAGTCCTGCCTTCTTCAATGCCCGCGTCACATGCTTTTCAGCCTTCTGAAAATGAAGAGAGCAGTAGGAAGGAACTGTTGATCTCAATATTGGCTTCCCACAAAGTATGGGACCTGTCGGCGAACTGCAAAATGAAGCAACAACACATCATACATAAGTACTGGATGCCTAAACTAAACCATGCAAACAATTAACATTACACCTAAAGACTATACAAGCAAAGAGGACCATGTCACAGGCTGTTGTCCTACTACACTCAATGACTCGCTACACAAGATGTTCCTTATCATACCTTGGGCCATGCCTCAGGGTGCAAGCAACCGCAACACAGAGAGCATCGCATGGTCCTAAAGTGACCATGAGCCCATTGGCAATGACACCAATGCCCTGCCGACAGACCAACTGACTAAGCCAGCTCACACCACCAATTCGAGCAAGCTGTGAGCAAATATATTATGCCAGCCACGCATAGCAACAAACTAGCACACGCGTGTCACCTCGAGGCAAGCAACCCAAACAAGCCGCTCGCCCAGACTGCTCTAGATCTTAAAGGGGCCCGCTGGTATAGGCCTACCTCCAGCTCTTTTGTATATACTATTGCTTGTACATTATAGAGTATAATTCTCTGAGTGTAAACATGTCTACTCCTCTACTTGGATTTGTAAAATTGTTTTTTCAAGGAGAATCAAGTAGTCTTCAACTACTCAAAGCAAGTGAAATGAGTTCATTTAACTGTGACTCTAATTTATACTAATCGCATGTTTGGTAGACGTAGAACAACCTCTAGCAAAAGTCTCTCCTCGTACACTTACCACCAAGGAAATAAACATCCCCCAGACAACTGTCACACTACATTCCTGCTGCATATATCCATCAAAGGAAACTATTTAGTTTGACAGTGGCTGTCTGGATTCTCATCCTGCATTCCAGTAAAGGACGGATGGGAAAAACAGAGCAGACAACGTATCCAAGAGGGATTCTTCTATTCCAAGCCAAAACAGGATGGCAAACAAAACTGTTCAAGGACACGATTGATGAAGGCATAATGCGTGGCATTCCACAGAGTTAGAATATTGTGAAAAAGCTAAAATCCCAAAAGTTGAATAACGGACTTGGGATTTGCCCGGTAACTTTAACAAGAGGTGACTAAGGCTGAGTAATTTAAACTTCTGCAAGAAGATAAGAGTGAGATAAGGGTACAATTCAACCTAAAAAAGAATTTAAATGACAACTGAAGGCGTTAAGGCACTCAAATATTTACAAAGTTCCAAGTACAAAGGGGGAGAGTTACGAAATCCATAAGGGGTGTGAAGATTCTACATGGATCGGAAGAGGAAATTCCATTGTGGGGCTCTTCCTAGGCTATAAACACTCCAATTAATTTCAAACTCTTTTAAAGAGAAGCAATTGTACTATAAAAGTGCTGAAGTATTTACATGTCAATTAATTTCAATGAAGTAAACCCAACATTAGAAGGGTGATGGTCCCTTTAATTATGGGTTAAGGATAATGTCAATGCTTAGGCATGATGTATTTGCCACCAAGAAACAAAAATGGAAGATACTGGTGCCAGGAAACTCACCACTTGAAGGGTGGCAGGTAGCTCAGTAACTGCATATTTTGGTGCATAGTAAAGCTTGGGGTGGGGTTTTGGGGTG